CATCCTTACCTTTCACAGAGGCACTGAGTTTTATAAATATGAGCATGATAGTGTAGAATAATCATATCCAAGAACCAGTGGTGGGTTTCAAAAATGTTTGGAACCTCTTCTGTAGGTGTGGCCTCCTTTCCGAGTCCACTGGTGTAACCTCTTCTAATCGGCTCGGTAGATTTGACGAACCGGTTCTACCGAATAGGTGCAAACTGGTAGGAACCCACCTCTGGTGGATGGATTACATTTGCACAGGCCCCACGCCAATCTTAAACCAACCTCTGTGTGGTTTACAACCAAGAATAAAGTGACACATATATAATAAAAAAACAAGTGAAACCAATATACTCAAAGATAGAAAAACCACAGCTGCATTTCCCTCATGCAACCCCCACATTCTCTTCCATTCTAATTGCACCCTATCTCAAACACCTTGGGTGTGTGTGTGAAATATGTCATCCAAAGGGGTGGATAAGCAGTCATCGCCACCACCCAATCTAGAACAGATTAAAGGCAAGCAGGTATAATAAGGGTTGTCTTATACCTGGTGGTGATGATGTGACAATATGCCAAATGGCATTTTGGTAAGTTAGTGCTCAGCAGAGTAATGACAGCTAGAGAATAATGGATTCAAATGAGCAAATACTGAGAGAAAGTTAGGAGAAAAACTGAAGGGCAAAAGTTGCTTGACAGCGAATTAATGAGCTGGAGATATGATGAGTCGGTTACTGAATGAATTCAAGTAGAAGCTGTTGGAGATACTTTAATTTAGATTTCTGAACTGAGCTAAAGATACGATTGAGTAGCCTAAATGTCCCCTTCCTACTCTTTTGATTTAAGAGAGGTTCAGAGCGAATGATACTGTAATGTTATGGAAAGGAGGATTAAGAATTAGAAGAAAAGAAATACACACACACACACAAAACAACTCTGCAAAAGTGCCCGTCCAGATGTTATAGAACCACAGTAGTTCCAGCCACAATAGTCATGGTGAAGGATACGAGAGATTGTACTGTATTTTTCGGAGTATAAGACGCACCTTTTTCCTTCAAAAAAAAAAGGGGGTGAAAATCTGGGTGCGTCTTATACACTGAATACAGCATTTTTGGCCTCCCAAAATCCCGCCCCCTTTGCAAAAATGGATGTGCAGAGGGTTTGAGAGGCTTGCAAAGTGCTCCTGAGGGCTGGGGAGGGGAAAAAAGAGCAAAAAAACAGGTTGTGCCCCCAGGAGCACTATACAATCCATCCAAAGCCTCTGCATGGCCCCCCTTTTTTGTAAAAAACGGGCCATTTTTGTGAAAAACGGGCCATTTTTTCCTTGTTTTTGATGCCCCTCCTTTTTTTTTTTNGAGATTTTACAATATCCTTCCCCTGGAGTGGGGTGGGAATGTACATTTCACAGTATCCTTCCCCTGGAGTGCAGAGGGAACTGAGATTTTGCAGTATCCTTCCCCTGGAGTGGGGAGGGAATGGAGATTTTGCAGCATCCTTCCCCTGGAGTGGGGTGGGAATGTACATTTCACAGTATCCTTCCCCTGGAGTGGGGTGGGGATGTACATTTCACAGCATCTTTCCCCTGGAGTGCAGAGGGAACTGAGATTTTGCAGTATCCTTCCCCTGGAGTGGGGAGGGAATGGAGATTTTGCAGTATCCTTCCCCTGCCACGGCCAGCAAGCTATGCCCACAGAACCGGTAGTAAAACAATTTGAATCCCACCACTGGTTAGCAGTTGAAGAAATAAATGGAAGGGAAGTGGAGAATGCATAACATTTTTTTACTAATTATTTTCTACTTTATGTTGTGTATCCTTAGTCTTATGCAATTTCTGCTTGAACAATTTAAAAAAAAATCTATTTGCCCCACCTCCACAAGACTTCCAACTTATTCCTACCTGTGTCCAAGTTCATGGGCAATTGTGAAGGCCAAAGGTAGGCCAGAGTCTTCATTGATGTTACAGCTCCGATGTGGTTGACACATTCCTGAGAGATGGGACAAGCCTAAGGTTTCACAGGGTTGATTCATGCCAGCACAAATGTCTTTTCTGTGACCACAGCAAAAAAGCTTGATGTTAAAAAAAAAACAAAAAACAACCTGTATATTCAAGGTAACCCCACACTCAGAACACAGGGCCACTGTTTTTAATGCTCTTAATTCTAAGAAAGTATACACAAAGAGGTTGGTGCAAACATCACTTTTGGGGATCTACCAAGGTTCATATTTCAACAGAAATCTAGAGATTCAACCTCCAGATTTCCTGACTCCGAATTTCCTCCTTTTTGTAACCACATTCTTTTTATGTGTCCCCTAAATAATAGAAACAAGGAGAAGGGGCTGTGATTTTTTTTAAAAAAAGTTAATAATAATCTCATAGATTCTCTTGTTTGTTTAATATGAATAACAGAACAACAGAGTTGGAAAGAACCTTGGAGGTCTTCTAGTCCAACCCCCTGCTCAAGCAGGAAACCCTATATAATTTCAGATAAATGGTTGTCCAATCTCTTCTTAAAACCTTCCAGTGTTGGAGCACATACAGTGTCTGGAGGCAAGTCATTCCACTGATTAATTGTTCTAACTGTCAGGAAATTTCTTTTTTGTTCTAGGTTAGTTTCCTCCTTGATTAGCGACCCTAAAAGAACTTTTTTTAACAAATGTCCTTCTCCATCTGTTACAGCTCCCCCCCACCCACTTCCAGTCAGTATTTTCCATGGTCTAACAACATTTTTATTCTCATTCTATGTAATCCTTGCCATTAACTATGTTCAGAAGCTGAATTAAAGCTTCCTAAATTAGAAATGAGGCATTATAGCATATGGAAAATGCAAAGTGAGTCACATTATTTCAGGTCATTATAGCAGTATTCAAAAGTGTGCAATTATTGTTAACAAGCACTGTTGTGGGAAAAGTCACAAGCAAGACGGCATTGTGATTACTGCAGCCAAACAACGCTGGTAATTAAGAACCAAAAATATTTGCTTCTGCAAATATTCATCTCTCTGGGAAAGAGTTTTGAAGGACGGGAGTTGTTTTCCAAAAATATGTCCCCTTCATTTTATGTCCTTTAGTAGAGTAGGCTCCGGTTTGTTAAGATTTTTGAATATAATTTGATGCAAAGTTAGGCAGTATGATCCAGAAATTACCAGAGGCATGAGCGTAAATCTTCACCACAAATCCTTCATAATCTTTTCCCTGGGAACTAGTTTACTCTGAGGTAATTTTATAGCCTTGACAATACTAGATTAGTTTCTTTATTCCTGACCAGGTCAGACAATACATCTGTCTGCAACAATACAAAACAGTCCAAGTTTATACAGTATATATAATTCTATGCATGGGGGGGGGGACATGGAATTTCCTCCCCCCCCCCATCTTTCTAGGTGAATGGGGGTTTGGGGAACTGCCAAAGAGATGGATGGATGGATAGGTGTGTGGGTGGGTGGATGGCAGTGGTGGGTTTCAAAAATTGTTCGAACCTACTCTGTGGGTGTGGCCTCCTTTGT